CGGGGCGGGGGCGCTGCGGGCCGCCAGCCATTCAGCGCGGCGCGCGGGAGGACTGGTCGACCTTGGGCTGCGCGGCTGCTCTCGGCGGGCTGGGCAGCGCGAGGGAGGGGGCGTGGGAGCCGTTCGCCCCTCTGATGCGGAGCCCTCCCATCCAAGCGGCGTTCTCCAGACCTCTCCCTCTGCTGTCTCAATTTGTCCCTTGCTGTCGTTGTTTCAGTGTCTTTTCCTTTCTATCGATCTTTCATCCATCTCTTCGCTGTCATTTTCGTGGTCCCTATCTCTGTCCCTAGGCAAGTTCCTGCCCCTGTCTGCCTCTCCATGCGTCCCTCCAGATCTCTGCACCCTTGTAACCGGCCCCCACCTTGCCCTCTCAAACCCCGCTCTACTCTCGCCTTTGCCCTCTCCAGCACACAATCCTAAAACCAGATTCCCTAAAATTCAGGGAGATCTGAGATCAGGCGCTTCGCGGGTGAGCTTGGCTGAGGGCGTTTCTCTTCCCACAACCTGTCCGTTATTTCTCCTAGACTGCCTTTCTACAGAGCCTGGCTGGAGAGATACACTGATACCTAACATTTCACATCAATCCGTGAGAATGGGGTTGAAATTTATCTCAGAAGACTTGAGTCTATGGTAGCAAAATAAAATCCTGCTTTTCAGTGAGTCTCTCGGGGCATCCTTTTCCTTGAGGTTGGCTGATGGACATCTGAGGCTCTGCGGATGCTGCTCAGATTAATCTGAGCCCAGACACATTGAACACCTTAGACACAAGGTCCTAGGGTGACCGCGGGTCAAAATCCCCTGAGGGATGTAGGTCACCCACCCTAAACAAGGCAGTGACGATCAGCGGCTCTATCCTCTCCAGATGTGAGAGGCCCCACTGCAAATCACATTCTCCAGATCAGATCCCACAGTGGGACATACCTGCTTGCACTTTGAGGCCTATGCTACATCCCTGATAAAAACAGTTCTTTCAAGAGAGAGCCCTCCTACTCCCAGAAGTAATATTCTGCCTGACACCTCCTGGAATTCACTGGAAAAGGTGCAGGGTAAGTCAGTGCAACATACCTTCTAAGTGGGACTCTGGAAATTCACTTTAGAGATAATACACACATGAATATAGCACAGTTGCAATGCTGATGTCTCTATTTTCACTGACTAGGTTTTTCATGCTCTTAAAAATTTGAAGAAGAAAAATTAAAGGGTTAGGACACCCGTGCCTGAGGTTGAAGGGTCAAAACAGGGCACAGAAAGGAAGCTTTGTTTGATTCCACCCTACAGGCTGCATGTGCCCAATCTGAAATTGATCCCACTTGTGCACGGGAACTCCAGGGCCTCCCAGGCTGGAGTATGGAGTTGGAATGAACCAACGTTACCCGGGTCTGCAAATAAAATGCTGTCAGAGCTGGGCTTCTCTCTGACCTTTAAGAAACCAGAAAGAAAAAGGCCAGCTTTGGGATATACTAAGTTCCTCTCCAAACCTTATTTCAAAAGGGCCTCTAGAGTCCTTTAGCAGTGAAAAAAAAAAGACAGAGAGAGATCAGGGACCATAAAATCTCTATCTGAATGGGACTGATTATTTAAGAAAAGCACCACAGGAACCTAGTAATGGGAACTGGTCTGACGCTCTGTTCTGTGACAGGGGGTGCCAAAGAGCTTTTTATGCTAATGACCTGAGACCTTCTGCCCAGACATTCAACTCTTACTGGCTCCTATAAGCTACTTGGACTGGGATATAAAACAGCATTGGATTGTCATCTTTTAAATCCTCACAGGAGACTTCATTTCCTGTAGTACCCAGTCAGAAAAGGACACCGAGTCACCAAGCAACACTAAAGAGCGTCATATTGCTTCTGACAATCATCTCCAATATTAATGCCATTTTCACAGGGAGAGGGACAAAGATAGGACATTAACACTCTTTCATATCATTTGCTTTAAAAACAAAAGTGTTAAGAGCACGATTCTCATACATTATTCTGTTTAAAGTAGTATACGTTTGTAAAATGCTCTCTCAGAATACAGTACAATAAATAATCGTCTTCACTGGGCCAGAGTGAGAATGTGGTTATCTTTCAAGAGGATAGTTGTTGTACCCATTTTTTCAGATACTGAGAATTCTTTCAAAAATTGCTCTCTAAACTTTGTGTGTGGTGTACACATGAATACTAGAAGAAATTAAAATTAGAATTCATTGGAAAAAAACTGATAGTCCCGTTAAATGTAATTGTTTTAGTTAATTTGGTTTGGTTTATTTGTATGTTTCTCTTTATTGGCAGGGGAACAAGAAGGCAGGCACTGAAAGTTTGAATGCTCTTGGAGCCAAGAAGAAGACAGGAAGAAACAGATTAACTTTCAGTTCCACTAAACTCTCTCTTAAAATGAGTCTATCTTAAAACATGGATTTCATTGTGTTTTACTCAAAATTCAAGTAAAAATAGTAAATTGTTTTTATGAAACACCTTGTTACAGACTTGCTTAAACTTCAGGCCATAGTACTATATGTAATACTGTCCATAATACCATAGTACTATACATAATACCTACTCTGCATTATACCTATTTTTCCTAATTGCACCAAAAATTATAAAGCTTATACTACCTTTCTGCATGATTTCAGTATAAACTGGCATTTTCATGTCATATGACCTTGGGCAAAAGACTAAACATTCCTCTGGTCTCCATATCCTTCTCTTTACAATGAAAAAGTAAGGTTAGATGATGAATAATATTCTTTTATTCTACTTTATATGACTAAATGTGAAGTCATCCCTGGCTTAAAACTCAACTGTTTCACACACACACACAAAAAAACAAGTGTACGCTGTATTCTGATCTTCAAAGACATTAGCAATTTCAAAGAAAATATTTTGTTCAATGCACCACACAGGTTTTAAGGAAAGGACTTTTATGGATTTGAAACAAGGTTTTTTTGTGCAGCTCTTCTTGGCCTGACTCGGAACCTCTGTTCAAGGCCAAGGGTTGGTTCTAGTGTATTAATCATACCAGAGTCTCAAATTAATTGCTATGTGCAAGTTTTCAATTTAACTGACTTATGAGAATGTACAGTAGCAGTAGCATCTTTATTACATTTGTGAATATTTGTTACAAATGTTCCAAAGCTTTTTCTAGTTCTTTTGCAGGATAAAATTCTTAAATGTCATACAAGACAACTAAAAAAACTCCCTGGCCCCTCTATATCCCCAACGTACTTTGCTAGCAGAAGAAAGGATCGTTTACAAAGTGATTTTATCAGCTAAAGTGTTTAGTATTTGAATGTAGTAGCACCTGCCTAATAACTATGAGGCATGTGTGCTAAATTACCATTACAAGAATGCTTTAATAACAAGATCACTGAACTAAAGAGAGAAAATAGCCATCAAGCGCTCAAGTAAAAAAAGTTAAAGTGAATCAAAAAGGTTTATATAAAAGGCATTTCCTTTTTAGAAACAATTTATATGCTCAGTCTTTATATCCATATATCATTTATTCTGCTAAGTGAGGACAGAGGGTTCTCAAAGGTAAGATAGTTTTAATTATGCTCATAAACTTTAAAAAGGGAATGAATACAATAAAAGAAATTAAAGAAAGCCAGTATTTAAAAGGCTGCTAAATGTAAAAGATAGGAAGATTGAGGTCATGGTCCAAAAATCATAATTAAAATTTTAAAAAATATTGTGACTCAGCAAACCTTTGCATTATAATCTAATTACAGAAATTCTTCATCGTGGTCCCTCCAGAGATTAACTGACAGTTCCCTAAAGCAGAGGAATTACAGACAAAGAATTTGATAGCCAATGTTCTGTGAACAAAGCAAAATACAGTATTTGTTTTAAGCCAGAAAGAACATTGGAGTTCCCAACCATGGAGAGACACAAGAAAGTATGAGGACAAAGGCCATCACTTCTGTGCTTACCAAAAGCTGAAAACAAGTCCGCAAATGTATACTTCATCTAATGTACCTGCATGTTTTGCAACGCACATGTTTTTCCAGCTGTGACCTGATTTGGTAAAGTGAAAAGTCTAAAACAAGATGACTTATACAGGCATGGAAAAAAGAGCTACTACAACTCAAATATTATAGAAACAAGAATGGTTTTGATTAGAAAGCTTTTAAGCAAGCGATATTATAAGGATACAACAGCCCTCTCAATTTGCCTTTTTAACATCAAATTGATGAAAACAGTTATACTGGAATTTTACCACAATGAACTTCAGGCTCACACCATAAAATGACAGTTTGCCTCTTCCACTTCCAGTAATTTAGCATTTCTTTAAAAATTCAAAGCAAGATTATCTAACATAACATTTTGTATTAAATGAATCTTGCTATCTCAAAGTTCCACGGTTTCCAATAGGATAACATTTACCAAGTACCAGATACATACGAAAGACCATAACCTGGAATTTCTCTACATTAATACCCTGCATCCCTGGTAAGTCCATGAGCTTCAACCAATAGTTTAGTCTGAAATGGAAACTTTTCATGTAGGTGCAATAGATATTGCGAAAGGGAAATAAATTACTCAAAAGGAACAACTGGTATGCAGGAAGGGAGAGAAGGACAGAAAGAAAGAAAGAAAGAAAGAAAGAAAGAAAGAAAGAAAGAAAGA